CAGCTGCAAAAAAAAGTACATTTTAAACGGATAAGAACATTTAGAGCTGAGTGTTACAAGGCAAAATTAACTTAGAAAAGCATTCATTAGCTTCAGGAAGCATCTTTTATATGGAATGCCAACCATTTTTTTCTAGGTTTCAACTCCAGTCTCTTGAGATAGGTAAAGTTGGCAATACTATTAATGCCTGCCTCCAAACATATACGTGATATGCTGCACGCTTCACATGTTGTACTAGTGCATCATGTATGGGTGTAATGCTGCCAATCTACCAGCTCTTTTAAGTGAAGAAATTTTATTTGTTTGCTCAGCTGCTCACTCATACAACAAATAGTAAGGGGCCGGGTTTGTGACCGGGGCTGCATTAATATTGATATTCCTTATAAATATATTATTGTTACTTAAAATTCATGATATATTTTATATAAAGGTGTATATATCATCTCATCGTCATCATCATCATCATCATCATCATCATCATCATCATCATCATCATCATCATCATCATCATCATCATCATCATCAAGCATACAGTTGATGATGATGATTAAGATGATTCTGATGATGATGACAATGATCATCATCATCTTAATCATTGGCATCATTATCATCTTCTCTGATACATTTTATCTAAATGCAACCAAGTCTGCTAAAATTGAGCTTCAAAAGTATTCAAAAATGAAGCGAATAGATATTTCAGAAGATCCATTATTATATTGGAGTCTCATGAAAAGCGAGTTGCCAACGCTAGCAAACTTAGCAAAAGTATATTTATGTTCACCCTCAAGCTCAACAACAAGTGAGAGGGAGTTCAAGGTTTCAAAGTTAATACAAAAAGATCGCATCAGACTTGCAACACAGAATGTTGAAACACTTCTTTTTTTTAAATACAATTTAAGGGCTCTTTCTTATTCAACATATTTATGTGATGCCCCTGAAGACTTTACAACACCTAATTCAAAATACTATGATGTCTGGGACACAGAATTATCAGAATCAGAGGAAGAAACTTAAATTATTATAAAGTGTCTTATTTCTGGTGGACGTGGTGGGGATCGAACTCGGAACCACTCGTTTATGAAGCGAGCGCTCTACCACTACACCACTACCGCTATTTAAAACTATTACTTAATAACTTTTCTTTAACGACGTCTTTCAACCGAATTCTATTACTGTTTTTGCAAAACTAATTAAAAAAACTTGATTAAAACTTAACTATTTAATCATGACTTTTTTTTACTTGAAAATCAAAGTAGATATTCTAAAGTTGTTGTGACGTACTAACGTGATTTTTATCGACTAACAATTGAGTTTCAATGGTAAAAAAATAATATTAAAATGGAGTTGTTTTTCAGTGATTTCGGTAATTGCTTTTTGTTAGCATGCATTTATTATTACAATTTAGTGAAAAAGAACAAAAAACTTACGTATTTTTTTTATGCTCTTTTATATGAGATCATATGTTAGGAGCACTTAGGGATCCTTTTAAAGTAAATTTAAATCCTTTCCTTTTAAAGTAAATTTTTTCAAATGCAATTAAAAATGTAACAAAAAGTAATTTTAACTTCAAGTTTTTTTAGTTTTATTTTAAAGCTAATTTATTTTCTTTTTCGTAAGGAATTGTTTGCTCATTTTTTAATTCTTTCAATTTTTTTCCTAGTTTAAGTTTAGCTTAACGTTTCTTTTTTCAGCGCATTTCTGAAATGTTTAAATCATCCACACATCTAAACAGTCATGGTCAACTTGTAAATAGTGGTCAGCAATAGCGTTCGACCGCATGTCATTCCTGTCAAAGCTTATTTATTTTGTTATTTTGTAGAATTTAATTCCCGTCAGTCAAAATGTCTAACTAACTTGTAAATTGATCGGACAATCTAAGGTTTTAGCCAGACAATATCCGATGTTCGACCATTAAATTGAACCTTGATGAGTGTAGCTGGGTTGTTACTTTGCTTGGTTTGTATGTCAATGCTAGGACCTTGGAGCATCATAGTAACAAGTGCATGGAGGTCTAGTGATACTAACTTTTCTTGACAACCAGGCTGAAATTCACCTTTCAAAAGGTTTAATTGTGTCAAATATAGTTTGGCATATAATTTGCACAGCTTTTCACTAATATGCTCCATCACAATTTCAACCATATTGACAGGCTTTAAGAAGTCCTAGACCTATGTCATTATTAAAAACAAGTAAAACACCTGGAGTATCCTGTTATGCAAGCATGTTTAGAAAAATTTTTCAATTATGTGCTTGCATATGCTTAGTTTTATAAATTTTTTTCCTTATTTTACATTATTATTTTAATTAGAAAAATATTTATACTAAATGAAATTTTTAATAATATATTTTTATGACTTTTATAAATACACTCTTGTTCAAATACCAGGCTTGGACAGGAATGGCGTGCAATCGAGCGCCTTTGCTGACCACGCGAGTGATTTTATTTTTTGACAACTTGACCACGATTGTTTATATGTTTTGATGATTTGAAAATTTCAGAAAAAAAAAAAAAATTCCTAACAAAAAAAGAAATGAAAAAGAAATTATATAAGCACTAAAATAAAAATAAAAGCTTAAACTCGAAGCGAAACTTTTTGTTAAGTTTTTAATAATGTATGAAATAAACCTTATTAAAGCTTATAAAGTTATAAAGTTACAAAAAACGTTATAAAGTTACAAAAAACGTTTTTAAATTAAGTAAAAAATTACTACTAATGATTGTTCAATAAATGAACAAATTTTATTAAATTTATTAAAAAGTGTTGAAAATAATATTTTTAAATTGTATAAACATTTATTTTTTCAAAAAAGTTGCAGAAAAAAAATTGCTTAAAAAAATAACGTAGTCTATTTAAAATAATAATTTTTAATAACTTCATGCTCTAATTAGTAACTCTAATTAAAAAAAAGGTTTTCAACTTTTTTATTCGTAAAAATAGAAAATAAATAAATTTCGCCTATTTAAATAAAAAAACCTGCCAACAAGCATTTTAATTTAATTTTAATTTGAGCATTTTAACTTTATTAATAAGCGCTTCGCTTAACAAATTAAAAAAACCCTTGGTAGCCGTTGCAACCAAGGTATTGACAAGAAAGAGTCGCAGCTTTGCTTTATAAGAAAACGTGAGCGAATGTAAAACATATATCGTACGTACGTAAACTTCACATTATATAATGTTAAAACATACTTAAACATATATTAAATTTTACAGTTTAACTTTCACAAAAAAACTGCATTGCGTCAACCTCTTCTTAATTTTTGATCTGCAGAATTTATTAAATTAAACATTCAAAACCGAATGTACAACAACGACAAAATTTAAATAAAATTCAAATTATTATTATACTCCATTATTATTTGGCTTTATATACTTTTTGACTAATCTTAACTTTTCAATAAGGGATTGTCATAAATTACACAAGGCAAAGGTTTATTAAAGAACAAAACAAAAAAGATAAAAAATTCTCCTCCCAGAGTTATCTGTTAAATAAAAAATTAAAATGACTCATTAAGTTTAATGAAAATAGCCACCTAAAAAAACTGAAGATCTCCTTTAACTTTTTTAAAAATAAACTTAGCGTTGCGTAATTTATGGACAATCCCTTAGCGTTTTATAGTCTATAGTTTTTAATGGTCTAAGACCTACTTATTTCTGCTATTTGCATAGCGTTGCATACAAACTTTGGATACAAAATAGCGTCTCATACAAAAATGTAAACGTCTGCAGCATATGTTGAGTTTGCAAGCAGTATATGGAACAATCGGGTATGATAAATTTATAAAAATAAGAAAACTTTTGAATTTTATTTTAACAATTAGAAATCTTTATTGCTATAAAAATATTTTTTTCCTATAAATATTGATTTAGTTATTATAGATATACAGTAAGATTGAAAAATTTCAATCTTACTGTATTTGTCTTTAATCCCTCAAAACGACACTGATGACAGCGCACTAAACCACTGACCTATCAATGTTATGCGGTTAAGAGAAAAACAAACCTAATTACAAATTTTTACAAGCTTTAGCTATGCTGAAAATTTTTTTTTGCTCTTAAAGCAATTTTTTAAAATAATTTATTTTAAATAATAGGTATAGAAATGATCGATGTGGAATAAATAAGTATAAAAATAGTAGATTTGGTAAAAAAAAAAAAAGTATAGAAAAGGTCAATGTGGAATAGACTTACAAAGACCCGTTTTTACGGGTCAGATCAGGAAGCTATAAAAGCTAGTAGCCACAAAAGCTTTTGAACTTATTCACACATTAAAGTAACTTAAAAAAATTCTTTCTAAAAATAATGACTTAAAAATGTTTTAGTAAGACATGAAAAAATAATTTCAAACGTTTAAATTTATCATAAAAAATACATTTTTAACTTTATCAAAAAAAAATTATATTTAACGCTTTTTATTAATTTACACATGCCTTTATGTAAACAATAACTAATTTTATAATTAATTTTATGGTTTTATTTAAAACTTTCACTTAAAATAAAAAATTTAGAAAGATCAATGATTAAAAGATATTTATAATGTAACACTTTTTTTATTGCGTTCATATTGTTAAAACATCAAAGTAGCCGTGGTCAAGTTGTAAAGAAAAAAAAATATTAATGTGGTCAGTTACAGAGTGCAATCGCATGTCATTCCTGTCTAAACCTGAAATACTATACTATATGTCAGCTATCGCTGTGTTATGATAATGACATGATGACATCGTTATGAATAATGATAATATGCATTTAATGAAAAAATATATTTGAGCAATGATCTATACAAATGGATTATACAGTAAAAAGGTAACAAAAGCCTTTTTTCTAAGAAAAAAATATTGTATTTATTCTCAAACGAAGACAAACTGTGCAGTATTTTTCATATTTTGTAAATTAATTGTTTTGTTTTTATATTTAAGATAAACTTGTTAACTCAGAGAAAAAAACAGGCAATCAAAATATATAACTTATACATTACACTAACAAGAACATGTTTGTTAATACCTGCTTGTCCGTCTTCTTTTCTACAACAAAGAGGACGCCCACAATCAACTTTTGAACCTTCCATATAATCTTTATCCAAGTGAATATCAGTTATCTGAATAACTTTGACTGTCTCAACAATGTTCTTAATAAAAGTATACAAAGAATAACATTTAAAAAAACGCAATCAATAACACTCCAAAAATTAAAGCAAATCTATAGTTAAAACTTAATCTGTATTTTGTAAAAATATTTTTTACCTGTGGGAAATCTTTGCTGATAGTTTTTGACATTTTTTCTGGAATAGAGATATTCCATGAAGGGAAAAATTCAACAGGATTTCCACAGCTGCTTCCAAACACCCAGTTACAGATATCATCTGGAGTTAAAATAGTATCAACAATAAAAACATTCCATACAGTGTCTTTAAACTCATTGCATACATCAGCACAAACTGTTTTGTCTTCAATTTTAAATTTATCGCAAATAAATTTAGCAAAATCATAAAAATACTCTTCTCCGTGTCCAGATGCAGCAAATGACTGTATAATTCCAACTATTCCTCTGCAAGCTTTGCAAGACACAGATTCATCTGGATGAAACTTGTTGATAATATTAAGAAGATTTTGACGACGATGTTCATTCATATAATTAATATTTGTTGGTAAACATAATACAGATGAAAACAACATTAGTAGAAGGTTTAACACATTTATATTTAAGAACATTTTTTTCCTGAAAAAGACAAAAACATTTAATATTGTGCTTGGTCTTAAAATAAAAGTTATGATCAGAGAAAACTCTTAATTGTGTTAATTTTTAACATAGGTTTTTGAATAACTTGATGGAAGGACTGTCATTATCACGCTTTAAATCTCTATTTTTTCCTGGTCTCTGATTTGAAATATCCGGAAAAATTTTTCCTAATAATATCCAGAAAAAATCCAGAAAAATATTTTGAAAACATTTCCGGAAAAATCTGGGAATAAAAACGCTTATTGTGTATTTGAGTATCTCATGTGCTTGAAAAAAATTTTTTTGGCAGGTATTCTTCTCTAAACAATAAAAGTATTTTAATACTTAATTGAAGTTTATAAATTAAAATTAGATTTTTAGGTGAAATAGTGAAAATAATTAAAGTGATCACTAAGTGCTGAGTGTTTACATATCTCAAATAACCCTTAAAAAATAAGTTTCATATTATTTAAACGTTTCATAAAAAAATATTTATCAACACATTAGCAAAAAAATTTTTAACGACATTTCTTTTTCTCGAAGGTAAATTCTTTTTTTTACTGTTGTGATAAACACTTTTGTAGTTAATAAACGACGTTGAACAAAATAGCTCTTTTAAATAACTTTAACTCTAGTTATAGATAGGGTTGCCAGACATCAGGTTTTTACAAAGGAGAACACAGTAAAAAAAAAAAATATTTTTATAGGTTTGGAGCTATATTATTTTCAATAAAAGCCGGACATCTGGCAACCCTAGTGATAAATGTTGCTTGGGTTTTTGCAACTAATTTTTATGTAGATTGATGTTTTTATATGAAACCGTTTATAAAACATGTAATAACCAAATGAAAATAACAATAAGTAAAAGCTTTAAAAGTCTAATTTATATTTGATTTATTTTAAAAACAAAATTAATATTAGTGCTATAGATATAAGTAAATTTAAAAATTATGATACAAGTTTTAAAGATAAAATTTTAAAACCAAAAAACAATTTTAATTTGGAAGAAAATAGTGCAAATAAAGTTGATTTCACGGTAAATGGAAAAATATTTTAATAGAAACAAAAATAAAACAAAGTAGAAAAGCGGTATTCTTCATTTAATTACAATCTTTATTTTGTCAAAAGTCTCCAGTTGAACTAAAACACAAACATTTTTTCAAGGGGAAAACCTAATTGTTTGAAAATAGTTTAAAAAACTCTTTGGTAAGTACATTTATAATTCAAACCAGATATTTTACAACAAAAAATATTAAGTTTACCTCTCAACCGGAAGTATAATGACAAAACAATAAATGCTTTTTTGTTAATAAATTGATTTGTTAATTTTCATTAACACAAAACTTATTTTATAATAATAATAATAATAATAATAATAATAATAATAATAATAATAATAATAATAATAATAATAATAATAATATATATATATATATATATATATATATATATATATATATATATATATATATATATATATATATATATATACATAAGAAATCTTCCTAATCTTTCAGATAAAAAATTATATATAAATTTTATATAAAAAATTGGGATTCATAGAATATATCTTATATAATTCTTATAAAATTTCATTTAGAATTCAATATAGAATTCATCATTCTTTTTTGTTGTTTTAATGAATTACATTTATATTTCAACTTAATCATTGTCAAGACACATGTGATATGTAATACAAAAGAAGCATAAACAACGGTAAAAATGGCCTCTAGTTTAAGGTTGACCTTGGTCATTAAAATGGCTCATCTAGCTTTAAGATGACAAAAAGCATACACAATAGGATTTTATGTTGATCTAACCATGTCACTAAAAATCATCTCAGTATTAACGGATAGGATGGGTTTTGCTAAAAGTAATTAGGTAATTTCTTTGATTTATGTGTTGGCTTTTCAAATGCTTGTATTGAATAACATTTCAATCTTTATATTTGTTGGTAAATTTGAAAACATATTAGCATCATATACATTACCTGCTAATCTATAAAAAGATTATTAAAGCAAATCTATGAAAAGATGATCCGGAAGACAAAAGTATACAACAAACCATTAAGACCCTCCCTTATTTATATTTTGTCAAGCTTAAACAAAACTTGACAAAAACAACAACATTAGTAAATTTATTATCTATGTTAATAAAAAAACTACATAATTTTAAACTATTGATAAGGTTGAAATAGCAGGCAAGTAAAAAAAATTATTTGGAATAGTTTTTATCATAGATAACAGATACAAAAAAAAAAAAGAAAAATAAAGAAAAATTTAATTTTATTAACTTAACTTTTCCATCAAAATTGTTAAGTAAAAGAAAAAAAAAGATGTTATAGGCACGTAATAAAATAAATCATAAAATAATCATAATAAAAAATTTATTATCTTGCAAGCACAAGAATATTTTTTTAGACAATTTCTCTTTTTTTAATAAATTTGCATTATTTATGGAAGATCCCTAACAAGGGTATCTAAACTCCCTTGATTGTATTGAAAAATTAATAATAGAGTTATATCCATAGAAGAAGTTTTTTCATTTAATTATTACAAATATTTACACTTGAAGCAATGTAGCTCTTGCAATGTCTTCATTTATATTTATAATTTGAAAAATAATATTTTATAATACTTACATCAGCATTATATAACTTACAGAGTGTGTGATATCAAAAAAGTGAAAACAGAAATTTCCTTATAATTTCAAACAAATTTTTCTAAATTATAAGATAATAAATAAATTTAAGATAAATTTATATAGATGATAAAATTAAAGCTGATGTTTGGGTTTAATATAATTTACTGTCTATTTTATTTAAGCGTGCATAATAAATATTGTTTAACAAATAAAATTTTTGTTAAAAAAAAATTTATTATTTTTATTGTAATTTTTTTTTTTTTGTTTTTTCTTCCTCCTTTTTGATATTTTTTAAAAAAAGTAAACATGTTATAACACTGCATCTATGATGTTCATAAAGTGTACGTTTAACTTTTATGTAATAAGGCAAATGAAAGTGCCTTAATACATTAAAGTTTTTTTTTAATAAATGGTACTTGGAAACTTAAATCTTAGTCTCAAAAAACAGCACTGGTAATTAAAGTAATTTTTTTTTTTTTTTTTTGCAACAAGTAATATTTATTTTTTATAACATTTTTTATTTTTATTTCACTTTTTAAAAATCATTATTATTTGCAAAGCCGCGATTAAAAAAAATAAAATAAATTTTTATTTATACAAATGTAAAGAAAAGAAATAAATAAATTTATGTTAAATGATAATGAAATCTAATACTAAATTCAATCATTTAATATTAAAAAACAAAAAAAAAGTAAAATAAAATAGACATTACACAAAATCTACATTAAAAAAATAGCATTTCTAGTTTATTAGTTTTTCTTAATTACAAAATTAAACTTGTTTAGCGGTAATTTATTTTATTATAGCAGTAATTTATTTTTATATAGTAATTTACAGTACAATACAGTAATTTATTTTTAAATATATTTTTAAATATTTTAAAATAAATACAGTAATTTATTTTTATTATAGCGGTAATTTATTTTATTATAGCAGTTTTAAAAAAGTTAATGTCTATAAATAAAATAAAAAAATAAAGATAATTTTATGATGTCAAAATCACACAAAGCTAATGAGCTAAACCATTTTTTCATTTTAAAAAGGCCTGTTACTGTCTTTTAGAAGGAACAAGGCAAAGACTTGAGAGGTAAACAGATTCTATCTGTTGACCAGCCTCAACCCCTTCTTCATCTATTAGGCTGGTGCAGATGTATTTATAATACATTGTTTCCAGTTTAGGATATTGATATTGATCTCTGTTTTTGTGACTAGTTAACTCATTCTATTATCTTCTAATGAGAGTACAGCTCTAAAACTTAGTTTTATGGTAATGAGGCCGGCCGGTCAGGTTTCCAAAAAACTGTGATAGCTCTCAGAGAGGCTGATTCAATCAACAGCTGTAAAATATCATAGTATTAACAATACTATATTGTACATCGATAGTGTCGCTATTTGCATTTGGAACCCTTTGTTATGACTAAGGGTTTACTAATAGTATCGAGGCAATTGCTTGCCAATTAAGTTGTCTGGGACTTATTCCATGATTTTTTTTAAGATGGCCCTTGGGTAGAAATTTTGTCATGCTGTTGAAAAATGTGCTTCTTACATAACTACTTGGATTCAGGCTGGCATGGAATCTTTTATTCTCTCTCGACAGTTCCAAGTCAAGCCTCACTCTTTTCCATTGTTTTCATCGCATTGTGGTACTGCAATTTTCAATTGAAACCATTATTTCCAAATCTATCAGCAAAACAATTCTCCAGAAAACAGATGTCTTTTTACTATTGTTAGAAACAATTGTAAAAAGTTTTGTCTAAAGCCAAAGTGTTTTCCAGAACTGTCGTCTATATTTTCAAAACTATTTAACGAGTGCTTATCAGAGTTATGTTTTCCAGCCTGCTGGAGAGCAGCTTGAATTACCCCTTCAAAAACTCTGGAGAGCAATCGGACTTGTCTAACTACATACACACACACACACACACACACACACACACACACACACACACACACACACACATTTACACACACTAGGGTGGCCCTAAAAACAACTTTTTTAGAAAATGTCTGCTCCCACCCTTTAAATGTGTTCTATATAATAAAATAAAACTAGAATTGAAAAAAATCCCTCATATTATCAAAAAAAAAGTTTTTGAAAACTATATCATATTGATAAATAAGAAAAGATTTTATAAAAATTTCAAAAATCATCAAAAAAAATTATTATTTTAAATTTCACTCACTAATAAATTTCATTTATAACTAAAAATAAAAATATCTATCCATTCAACGTGACGTCACTCCATACTAAAAAGTATTGTTTTAAAATTAACTGTCTTGAATTGGAAGAAAACAAACTAAAAAATCAGTTGCAGTTTGTTAATTTTTTTTTGAATGTAAAAAAGTTGTTGTGCTGTAGG